ATTGCCCAAGCACAATCAGCAGCTGAGGAGCTGAAAATGTTTTTAGAAGCTGATTCTGTGGAAGAGATGAAAAAGAAACTTGATAAGTTGTGTATGGTGTTGATTCTGCGTGCCATGAACTCTAATTTTAATCATATTCGTGACCAGATTTTGACAGATCAAGAAATCCCTTCAATGGAGAACCTTGTAACGCGTCTTCTTCGTGTTCCAAGTTCGAAAAATAGTGCAAGTTTGGTTGAACCTACTGAATCTTCAGCAATGGTTTCTACCCGAGGAAGAGGAGGTCGTGGAAACCGTGGAGGCCGTGGTGGCAGGAGTGGTCGGCCCCAGTGCTCATATTGTAAAAGAATGGGTCATACTCAAGAGACTTGCTATTCCTTGCATGGCTTTCCTGAAAAAACTGCCAATGTCTCCAAAATTGAAGACTCTAAATCTGATAAAAAAATTTCTGAGGAGGAATATCAAGAATATCTTCGGTTGAAATCCAATAGTCAAGCTCAATCTTCCTTTGTTCCTAATATTTCAACAGCATGCATTTCTCAATCCACGGAGAGTCAAGGTCCATGGATAATAGATTCTGGTGCTTCTGACCATATGTCTGGTAATAATTCTTTGTTCTCTTCTATTTCCTTACCTAAAGTTCCTCATTTCATTACCTTGGCTAATGGATCCAAAGTCGCTTCCCAAGGAGTTGGTCAAGTCTCTCTCACCCCTTCCTTGAACTTAAAATCTGTCCTCTTTGTTCCTAAATGTGCTTTTAATTTAATTTCTTTGAGTAAATTAACCAAATCATTAAATTGTTCTGTTACCTTTGATGCTAATTCCTTTGTTATTCAGGAACGTGGCACGGGTCGGTTGATTGGAGGAGGACATGAATCTAGAGGACTCTACTATTTTGAAACTAGCCCCTCTGTCTCTTGTTTTGCATCTTCGACTCCTAAACTTTTGCATGATCGTTTGGGTCATCCTCACCTGACAAAATTAAAGAAAATGGTTCCTAGCCTTAACAAACTTCAAGCCTTAGAGTGTGAGTCTTGTCAACTAGGGAAACATGTTAGGTCTTCATTTCCAAAAAGAACTGAAACAAGATGTAACTCTGCTTTTTCCATCATTCATTCAGATATTTGGGGTCCAAGCCGTGTCACATCTTTTGGGTTCAGATATTTTGTCACATTTATTGATGAATACTCTCGATGTACTTGGATTTATTTAATGAAAGATCGATCTGAACTTCTGTCCATTTTCATGTCTTTTTGCAATGAAATTAAGAATCAATTTGGGAAAATAATAAAAGTCCTTAGGAGTGATAATGCTAAAGAATATTTTTCTTCAGATCTTACATCCTTTCTAACTACATATGGTATTTTACATCAATCTACTTGTCCTCATACACCACAACAAAATGGTATAGCAGAAAGAAAAAACAGACATTTAGTTGAAACTGCTCGTACCTTATTACTTAGTACCAATGTTCCCGTCCATCATTGGGGTGATGCAATTCTTACGGCTTGTTTTCTAATAAATAGAATGCCATCCTCCTCTCTTGATAATAAAATTCCTTATTCAATTCTTTTTCCAAATGAACCTCTATTTCACGTTTCTCCTCGTGTTTTTGGTTGTGTCTGTTTTGTCCATGATTTATCTCCAGGTTTGGACAAGCTCTCTGCTAGAGCCATTAAGTGTGTTTTTCTGGGTTACTCTCGACTTCAAAAAGGTTATCGTTGTTATTCTCCAGACACCAGACGATACTACATGTCTGCTGATGTCACCTTCTTCGAAGACACTTCGTTCTTTTCATCTTCCATGCAAGTTTTAGATTCTATTCAACAAGTATTACCTGTTCCATTTCTTGAGTCAGTGTTGACCCAGTCTCCTGAAACTACCAATCAAAACATAGATCCAAATCCTTCTCCAACTATCAACCCACCTGAACCATCTTCACCACCCCTCATCACTTACCAACGAAGAATACAAAGGGACAATTCAACACATCATGGAGAGCCATCTGTTTCATGTTCTTCACCATCAACTGCACCTACCACGATTCCCAATGATGAAGATTCTAGTTGGCCAATTGCTCTTCGCAAAGGTATTCGATCTACTCGAAATCCTCATCCTATTTATAATTTTTTGAGTTACCATCGTTTATCCCCTTCATATTTTTCCTTTGTTTCATCCTTGTCTTCTATCACCATTCCTAAAAATATCAATGACGCACTTGCTCATCCTGGATGGCGACAAGCCATGGTTGTTGAAATGCAAGCTCTTGAAAGTAGTGGGACATGGGAATTGGTTCCTCTTCCACCTGGGAAAAAGACAGTTGGTTGCAGATGGGTTTATGCCATCAAAGTTGGGCCTGATGGTAAGCTTGATCGCCTTAAAGCTAGGTTGGTGGCCAAAGGATACACTCAGATATATGGCCTTGATTATGGTGACACCTTTTCTCCTGTGGCCAAAGTCACTTCTGTTCGACTCTTTCTTGCTATGGCCGCTATTCGCCATTGGCCCCTCCATCAGTTAGATATTAAAAATGCCTTTCTTCATGGTGATTTAGAAGAGGAAATCTATATGGAGCAACCTCCTGGATTTGTTGCTCAGGGGGAGTGTGGATTAGTTTGTAAATTGCGTCGATCTCTCTATGGGCTCAAACAATCTCCACGAGCTTGGTTTGGAAAATTTAGTCACGTTGTACAGAGTTTTGGGCTCAACCGTAGTGAGGCAGATCACTCAGTTTTTTATTGTCATACCTCTTCTGGAAAATGTGTTTATCTAATTGTGTATGTTGATGACATAGTTATTACAGGAAATGATTCTGTCAAGATTTCCCAGCTGAAAAGGCATTTAGTCAGCCACTTTGAGACCAAGGATCTCGGTTATCTTAAATACTTTCTTGGTATTGAGGTGGCTCAATCAAAGGAGGGCATTGTTATTTCACAAAGAAAGTATGCTCTAGATATTCTGGAGGAGACAGGCATGATTAATTGCAAGCCAATTGATAGTCCTATGGACCCAAATAAGAAGTTAGTGGCAGACCATGGTGAGCCATTCTCAGATCCAGAGAGATATAGAAGGCTTGTTGGAAAACTTATTTATCTCACGATCACTAGACCTGACATCTCCTTTGCAGTTGGGGTTGTCAGTCAATTCATGCAAGCTCCTTATATTGATCATTGGAATGCTGTGATTCACATTCTCAGGTACATCAAAAAGAATCCAGGACAAGGACTACTGTATGAGGATAAGGGAAGCACCCAAATTTCTGGTTATTGTGATGCTGATTGGGCAGGATCTCCTATAGATAGACGCTCTACTACCGGATATTGTGTTTTTATTGGAGGAAATATCATTTCTTGGAAGAGCAAGAAACAAAACGTTGTTGCTCGATCTAGTGCAGAAGCAGAATATAGAGCTATGGCTACAGCCACTTGTGAGTTAATATGGATTAAGGAACTCCTTCAAGAATTAAAGTTTTGCGATGTTAAGCAAATGAAGTTGTATTGTGACAACCAGGCAGCTCTCCATATTGCTTCCAACCCCGTGTTCCATGAAAGAACTAAACATATAGAAATTGACTGTCACTTTGTTCGACAAAAGCTATTATCCAAAGAGATTGGTACTGAATTCACCAGTTCAAATGATCAACTAGCAGATATTCTCACCAAGTCTTTGAGAGGGCCTCGAATTAAGTTCATATGTTCCAAGCTTGGAGCATATGATTTATATGCTCCAGCTTGAGGGGGAGTGTTAAGTTTAATGTATTTTATAGGTGTAATTATTACTTTCTTTCTTTTTGAGACATACTTTTACTGATGTTGGTGGCTGTGTCAGGGATCAGACTGCTGTATCTCCTTTTCTGTCTTATCTTGTACTCTCTAAGCACATATATATATATGAATGTTTTGGAGCTAAGTGTATAACACACACTTTAGCTTTTCTCTCATATTCCGTCAGTTTTCTCAACTCCATTAGCCATTAGAAGTTTTATAATGATGGTCTCTTGTAGATCTTAACTATTGTTAAAAAAGTTGTGACAAGATAAAGATTTGCTAACTTATTTAGGCTTCTTTTTTTATAAAAATATATCTTAGAGACTCAGACAACTCTAGGAGTGTTGGACTGGGAACATGTGTATGTGGCAGGTAACAGATTGTGTGTGTGTGTTGCATTGCCTATGCAGTAGTAGTCTGTCAAAAGGGAGAACCACAAAAGAGAAAATGCATTAGCGCCTAAATTCACTCTATTGTTTTGTGACACTTGTCAGTTTGTGTTATAAGTATAATCAGAAGGTAACAGCATTCAGGGGTTTTTAAGCTTTTAAATTTGTACTGCGTGACAGTACCAGATCAGAAAGAATTATGATAGTGTTGGGAACCCAAAGTCTGATTTTATTGATTGAATGAAATTGAATAGAAACTAGGAGAGAAAAGTTGAATTCTACTTCTCCTCTGAGGGTTTCCCCCTCACAAAGGATTTTTCTTTTCACAACATCATTAATGCTCAGTTCCCTCAATTGATGCCATAAATAATGGCATTCCCTTCTGCCTCTTCTATTTAAGCTAAACCCTGCCCTTTCACCCTCTTCAGTAACCTGCCTAATTGTTCTACAATTAACTATTGATATCCTGCTATAACTAACTGTTGATAACTGGGAATCTCTATCAGATGGTTCCTGTTATCTGTATTAGAAACCTACAAGTTATGTGCAATATTGTAGCACCATGCCCCCCTCACTCCAGTTCATTATGCATAGAATGATTGTCCCATAGTTATCTTCTACCTTGTTTGTGCAACTCAAAATTTCAGTTTCAGTTCCTTACCCATTTTCCAAGTCTTGTGATGTATTTCTTTATATCAAATCATATCATTCTATGTTGAGTGTAAATTCATCTCTTCAAAGTTAACTGTGTGGACTTTGATGAGGTAGTTTATGAATATTCAAATTCAAATGTTTCTTGGAAGTTGCTTCTTGTCCTAACTTTATTTTCTTTTTGAGATTCTAGAAATTAGAACAAATCGTCTTGGAGAAAGTGGATATGTTCTCTTTTCAGCCCATGCATTCTCGGGATTGTTCACAGGTATGTATCATGTCTGTATGCCTCTTCTCTCTCATGATTGTCCTAAAAGATATGGCTTAGAATTATTACTATCTAAAATACACAAGCTCACCAATAATTACTCATCAGTGCATTCAACATCAGTTCCTTGTTCTTCAGTTCTTGTCAAATAGAATTTTCATAAAAAAAATTGGGGTTTGTAAGAAAAATAATCATGAATGGAATCAATGAATTCAGCATTTGAATCATGGTTTAATCTTAAGGGATTGGGGGAAGTCTCATCAGTGACATAACAAGTTTGGAACATTCAAACAGTTTGAGGTGGTAAAGCCATATTTATTTTATCATGCTCCGCGGCTCTGGTGTCAGATACAGTTATTACATTTATATACTCTCAAGATTATATACTCTCAAGAATTCTGCGCATTTCCCAGAAGCCACAACTATTGATTTGGTCTAAGAGAAGTTTTTTTTTTTTTTTTTACCCGTACAGTTTTATGTTATTTATTTCTGTTGTATGACAGCTGGGTTCAAAATGTTTAAATGAATAAATCCCATATGGTTCTCATTTTGATATGGGTTCTCTATAAATAGATACAACGGATAGCAGCAGTTTATCAATTACGGAGTAGCAGTCAAGGTTCTGGCAAAAAAAGGTGATGATGATCATCTTGTATTTATAGAAGTAAATGTTAGGGTTCTGAAAGTCTGGATTTTTGGTTTCAGATTTGTGACAGTGATGCGAACACAGTATACATCCATGCCATCTTCAACTGGTCGACAGCGCCTGGAAAAGGTTCTGTAGTGTTTGAAATCTTGAAATTTATTTATGCATTGCATAACATTTACACCTTTCCTCCTGTTTTAGTCTTTTCATCCCTGTCCTTGAGAAACAGAGTGGCCCATCCTCCTCTCATTTTTATCATGCACATCCAGGCCATTCATTGTAACTTTGAGATATTTAATTGAAGCTTTCGATCTTTTTTCATTTATTGGATTTCTTTCAAAACTTGAGGGTTTTTTTTATTTTTATTTTTTTTACTTATTATGTATATTTACATATTTGTAATTATCTGTATTTTACTTGCTATAGTTGAGACATTTACTTGAAGCTTTCGATCTTTTTTCATTTATTGGGTTTCTTTCAAAACTTGAGGGTTTTTTTTTTAATACTTATTATGTATATTTACATATTTGTAATTATCTGTATTTTACTTGCTATAGTTGAGACTGACTGTTATATGAAATTCAGTTGTTGGGAGTTGATGATGAGGATGCCGATTTTGCTGTTGCTGACTGTGTTAATAAGAAATCTGTGAGTGGAGGAGACAGAAGACTGGGAAAGAAAATTGCTAAAAGGAATGATTTTAGATTACAAGAACTTCAATCTGCCCAGAACAAGTCAGGCAGCAGTAAAAAAGGCAGTAAAGTGAAGGACAAGAAAGGGAGTGGACAAAAGGGTTCATATGCTAATCAGCCCGTGTCATTTGTATCAAGTGGCATAATCCATTCAGAAACTGTACAGGTTGCGGTTGTTGATGCTCAAGAGACTTCTAGGAAGGTTGTCACCAGCTCTGCTAATATAGGTTCATTTGAGGAACACACCACTGGTTTTGGTTCAAAAATGATGGCTAAAATGGGATACATGGAGGGAGCAGGATTGGGGAAAAATGGTCAAGGTATGGCAGAGCCTATTGAGGTTGTTCAAAGGCCTAAATCACTTGGTTTGGGCGTAGAATTCTCCAACAACCCGACTGAGCCAAGTCAGCCAACCAAGAACAAATCATCTAGTTCTAGTATTGGTGCTTTTGAAAAACACACCAAAGGCTTTGGATCGAAGATGATGGCAAAGATGGGCTTTATTGAAGGCACAGGATTAGGTAGATCATCACAAGGCATTACCTCTCCGTTGACTGCTGTTAGGCTACCAAAGGCACGAGGACTAGGTGCCAAAGGTTAATTTTACGTCATTTCTTTTCTGTCTGTTGCTAATTGTGTATATTGTTGGCTTAAAATCTTATGACTCCTTTGTAGTTTCCATCGCATGACCATCTCCTTTGTAGTTTATTTCTAGCTCCTAGTTATTTTTTTCCCTTTTTATAGGAAAAAATAAGAAAACTCGGATAGAGGACATGTAATTATGTTCAAGATACTTATGTTGAATGTGGTCAACTATTGGATGACCACGTGGAATTGTATCTTCTTCCATTGTCCTGCGTGTTGCATTTGTCCATCTTATAACAAATAATGCGTTTTTTGTTTTAGTATATCGGTGTCGTACTCGTGGGACAAAATCATACCAATTAATTTCGTGAGACTTGGTTTTCACAATTTGTCGATGATTAGACTAAAGAGCTAGAATGAAATGTCGTTTTCTGAACTCCCATTTTCCTCTATTTGACAACGGCCTATATCTTTATTCAATTGATTGTATTTACCATTTCTCGCCTTCAATAATAATGGAAATCAATGCAAACATGGGCACAGTCATCATAGGATGCACGGTCATTTTGTGAGATCTACTAACCCCATGGATCTAAATTGAGGAAAACGCGAGTTAGTAGGACCACATCGATACCCAAATCGTGAAAACTATCAGACACCTAGAATTCTCATTAAAGGCATTCTCTTATACGAACCTTTAATTCTTTAATGCTTTGGTTAATCTCTCGTTATCATAGGGCCCTTATGTCTTTCAAATTTCAATTTGAACCTGTTTTGTTTTCATTTAATTAGAAGACTTGATTAGTGAAATGGCAACATTGGCTGTTTGATTGTCATTTTCAATGGTGATTGAGCAAGATGGCATTCTGTATGGTGCACGGTGTATGTGATACATCTTCCTCAACAAACTAGAATATTCCATATGTGGGATTTAACCATTGGTATTCTGTTATATTAGCACTACATATTTATTATGCAATTTCACATTGGCAATAAAATTAAAAAGGGTTAGGTCTAATCTTATTCTCCTTTGTCAGTATGGAAGCACTATACAGCTGGTCAAAATTAGATAGATATCAGGGTGTAACGTTTCCCAAAGGCACGTTGGGATTTAAACGCTTGCGTTTTTGTTAATTTGTTTTCATGCTCTGGTATTCTCCACTTCTGCATGTTGAATCTTTGGAGTGCGAGCCCTTATATATATATATATATACAAAGAATGCCTACACTTTACGTTAGTGTCACTTCAAAGATATGTATAAAATAAAGGGATGTTAAGAATCACGGAAGTCTCGAGCCTTAACCCTGTTCAGTAACTTCAATCACAATTTTTTGGTTCTAACTGTAAGTTATAATTTATGCTAAATAATAGCAATCCGAACAAGGTTATACTTATCATTTCTTAGGTGTAAAACTTGGAATTTATATAGTCTTTAAATTCGTGATTTCTAGGCTAATTTGAGCACCTTTTATTGGCGCTTATTGAAGATGACAAACAATCATTAATAAAGTTTCATTATCTAATTCTATAGACAGCGTTGTCCATGCTTGTGTTATTTTAGAAAATATGTTGAGCTTCTTTCATTGTCTGATTCTCTTGATAATCAGTGCTAGACAAAAGATGCGAAAGGTATTTGTAGCTCAAATTTGTTAAGAGTGACGGAATATAAAGTATAAACTATGAATTTGGTCAAAAACGACGCATTCATTTTTTATTTTTTATTTTTAATCTTTAATGTATAAGTAAAACTAATCACCGTATGAACCATTAGAGTTAGTCTAGTGGTTGGGTGGGGAAAGGTTTGGGTAATTAGAAACATGATAGGTTTAATCTTTATTGCGATTATCTTTGCGATCTTTCCTATCTTAAAAAAAAAAAAAAAAACTAATTACCGTATCATTATTTATTGTCTGGGTTAATTATGTCACTTATTGGTTTAGTTTGACAGCTTTACAATATGGTGAAAATAAGCTAAGTTAAATCACACTTCGTTAGAACTGAGTCTGGTCTTGATTAATAATATATAGTCTGAATTTAGTCTATTTACGTGTTATAAGAATTTTTTAAAATATATTTGTCTTATAAAAAAAGTTTGATTTAATTTACAAGCATATTTAAGAGTCTATCTTATAAAATATAACTTTATAAAATAAAAATGTTAAAATTTATAAAACAAGTCCTGACATAGAATCGGAATTCAGAGGCATATTGATGAGCAATTACATTGCAAAGAATAAAGCATTAATGATAACCAAAATAACTAAATAAAGTATGGTAAAATGTGAATTTAAATGGGAGGATATTATGGTAATTTAAGAGCATGAGTAGTCCCCATCTTGCAATAAGAACAGTGAAAGACAAGCAGCGCCAAGGGAAGGAAGCATATAAATTTGCAGTCCCAAGTTTCAAAGCCTTCGTTCCACCGTTTAGCGTTTTCCTTTCTTTCCATCAATTTTAGATTCCCATTGCTCGAAGAAATTCAGTTTTTCACGCAGATCTTCGTTCCTCTTCCCTCAGGTGAGTAATAAAATTCACGTGCATTCCAATCTTTTCTTCATTTCTATATCACATTTCGTCTTTTGAGTCCTGTTGTGTTGCATTGTATTCTAACTTCCATGTTTTGCATCTGCATTGTCCCTGAACTGAAAACCTAGTTATAACTTCCCCTTCCTTTCACTTTTTTTTCTTCTCTCTCTTGACATTTTCCCTATCTGGGTCTTTCAGATCTGGCGCAAATCCGCCCAAAAATGGAGTCTTTCCACCGATTTAGATCGTGGGTATTGGTTTTTCTGTGCTTAATGTTTCAATCTGGACACGGGTTTTACCTTCCCGGTAGTTACCCCCACAAGTATGGCGTTGGGGATGAGTTGTGGGTGAAGGTGAATTCTCTAACTTCAATTGACACAGAAATGCCCTTCAGTTATTACAGTTTACCCTTTTGCAAGCCTGAGGGTGGTGTCAAGGACAGTGCTGAGAATCTCGGTGAACTCCTCATGGGGGATCGGATCGAGAATTCACCTTACAGGTTTAAGATGTACGCAAATGAGTCTGAGATATTCTTGTGCCAAGTGGACAAGCTCTCTGAGGATCAATTCAAGATCTTGAAGAAGAGAATTGATGAGATGTATCAGGTGAATTTGATACTTGATAATTTGCCTGCCATTAGGTTTACCAAGAAGGAGGAGTACTTTCTGAGGTGGACAGGATACCCTGTTGGTATCAAGATTCAGGATGTGTATTATATGTTTAACCATCTCAAGTTCAATGTCCTTGTGCATAAGTACGAGGAGACCAATGTGGCTCGTGTGATGGGGACCGGTGATGCGGCTGAGATGATCCCTACAATTGGTAAGGAGGGAAATGACAAGCCTGGCTACATGGTTGTTGGGTTTGAGGTGATACCTTGTAGTGTTATGCACAATGCTGATTCGGTTAAAGGGTTGAAAATGTATAGCAAGTACCCGTCGGCAATCAAGTGTGATCCGTCCATGGTGGCGATGCCTATCAAGGAAGGGCAGCCGGTGGCGTTTACATATGAGGTGACCTTTGAGGAGAGTGATATCAAGTGGCCATCTAGATGGGATGCTTATTTGAAGATGGAGGGAGCCAAAGTTCATTGGTTCTCAATCCTGAATTCGCTTATGGTGATCACTTTTCTTGCTGGGATTGTTCTTGTTATCTTTTTGAGGACTGTTAGGAGGGATCTGACCCGGTATGAGGAGCTTGATAAGGAGGCACAAGCACAGATGAATGAGGAGTTATCTGGTTGGAAGCTTGTTGTGGGGGATGTTTTCCGTGCCCCCTCGCATCCAGCTTTGTTGTGTATAATGGTTGGGGATGGAGTTCAGATTCTTGGGATGGCTGTTGTGACAATTTTGTTTGCTGCACTTGGATTCATGTCACCGGCTTCCCGTGGAACGCTTGTCACAGGTATGCTGTTTTTCTACATGATACTTGGTATTGCTGCTGGTTATGTTGCAGTTCGGCTATGGAGGACAATCAGCTGTGGCGATCAGAAGGGATGGATGTCAGTGGCATGGAAGGCTGCTTGTTTCTTCCCTGGTATCGCCTTTTTGATTCTCACAACCTTGAACTTCCTATTGTGGGGAAGCCACAGCACAGGAGCCATTCCAATTTCACTCTTTGTTATACTGATTATGCTTTGGTTCTGCATTTCTGTGCCCCTTACCCTTATTGGAGGGTACTTTGGAGCAAGGGCACCCCACCTTGAGTATCCAGTTAGAACCAATCAAATTCCTAGAGAAATTCCCCAGCAGAGGTATCCATCATGGCTTTTGGTGCTTGGTGCTGGCACCCTTCCATTTGGCACCTTGTTCATTGAGCTCTTCTTTATCATGTCAAGTATTTGGATGGGACGTGTTTACTATGTATTTGGATTCCTCTTCATTGTTTTGATTCTTCTAGTGGTGGTTTGTGCTGAGGTATCTCTAGTTCTAACCTACATGCACCTCTGTGTGGAGGATTGGAGATGGTGGTGGAAATCATTCTATGCCTCTGGTTCTGTTGCCATATACATCTTTTTGTACGCCATAAACTATCTTGTGTTTGATCTCAAGAATCTGAGTGGTGCTGTTTCTGCAACTCTTTACTTGGGATATTCCCTCTTCATGGTTATAGCAATCATGTTGGCTACAGGTACAGTTGGATTCCTTTCCTCATTCTGGTTTGTGCATTACTTGTTCTCTTCGGTCAAGTTGGATTGAAGACTTCACAGGCAAAAATTAGCTCTACAGAGAACAGTTTTTAACAGGAGGATACTTGAAAATGTTCGATTTTATGTTACTTTGTTTCAGTTCATTTTAATAGGTAACGTAGTAAATTCTATAACAAAATAATTTTATCCAGTTTTGCTTTATTCATTGTTAGATATGATATCATTGTATGATAAGTTGGAATTCTGAAGTTTATACTGTACTTGGCAGTTGAAGTTGAGGAATGTAATTCAGATAATCAGATCATCATGGCCTTGCATGCAAAAATTACAGTTTCATTTTGTTCATACTTTTAAGTTTAAATATATTTTTAATGTTTGTTAAATTTTTTTTATTAGTTTTAGTTCTTATATATTTTTTTTTAAAACGATATATTTATCTCTTAATATATGACATCTATTTAGTCATGTAGCACTTGTAATTATTATGTTATGGTAGGTGACATGATATGTTTGAATACATCTTACCTCATTCATCCATAAGGCGATTTCCAGCAATGCTAAAACCAGATTTCGGTGAGAAATTTTTTTTTAATGAGAATATAAGTTATTTTATTTTATCACATTTGTGGCTTCTTTTTTATTTAAATTATTTTTTAATATAAAAAAATATTTCTAAAACTATTGAAATGTTATAAAACATGTTTTTAAGGGTCAGTTAAGTTCGTTTTAAAAATCATTGTACTGAATAGAATAAATATAATTATTCTGTATTTGATTTATAAAAGAATCATGAGACAGGAAATAAAAGATAAAGATTTGACAAAGATTTTTACTAAATGGGACAACTTTTTGTTCAAGTACAAAAACGCTTATTATTATGATGTTTTAGCAACATCACTCTGATTTCATCACTTTATCCATTCATTTTTTTTTCTTTTAAATTATATCATTATTCAACATTATTCCACCATTTTATATGTAATGATCTTGCCAAGTAATTTAGCAAAGGAATAATCTCAGTACATGATTTAAGTTATTCTTTGCCTAGCCAAAAAAATATTATTTCGTAACCTTATACAAAAGTTGTTATTCATTTAAGCCTAACCATGTTGGCGTATAACTAAATGGACAGAACTAAATTAGCCCATGAAGTTAAGGGACCAATAATTTAGGTAGTACGTGTCAATTGTCAAGTTGATTTGCGATTTGGAAATGAGGCAAAAGATTACTAAGCAAGTTTGTGCTCTAGAAACGACCTAGACTGTTCTCGGACGGATGGTAACTTATACGTTTAATGTTAAATACTCGTGATAATTTTTAAAAAAATTATTGATATAATTATTATTTATTTTAATATATTAAAATTGATAAAAAATATTTTAAATTTATATGTAAAAATTGTATAATTATATATAAAATAAAATACTTAATGTAAATTTTATAATATATATATATCAAGAGAAAGTTTAGTTGTGATATGTTAACAGTGTAAATTTACATGGTCATTCAATCGCAATACATTATATACGATAAATATAAATATGAAATGTAAAATATTTTATATTAAATATAAATTTTATCAATTCAATTATTGAATTATAATTTCATATCACTTTATATATTTATATCAAATAAAATTAAAATATTTATATTTTAATATATTTTTAATAAAT